CAAAGTCAAAAACAGTGTCATCTGATGAACTCTATTTTAACAAATAAATATAATGGGAGGAGGCTGGGCCTCGATGAGGGTAAGTAGAAGCAGGGCATGTACCTGTAAGAAGAGTGGTAGGAAGCTGGAGGTCAGAAAGGATGGAAATATGCTAAAGGTAACAAAATTGACCCTTTTAGTTCTTTTGGGTTTGAAGAACTGTCAAGGAAGGGACAGAGCCTTTTTGCTACTCAGAGGTAATGGTAGGGAAAATGCTAAAGCATTTTCTAATTCTTTCTTGCTTCTCTTATCTGAAACTAGATAGAATACAGGGAGTCTCTAACTGGAAGTGGTAAAACAAACTAACTAAAGAATAAGAACAAGAGCTCATGATAAGAAAAAGAGCTGCCATTGGTGAGTACTCATTTTGTGCCTAGCCAACATACATGTTCTAATAAAAAAATCTCAAAAACAACTCAAAAACACATTTTAGCCAACAACATCTTTCTCCCTTCCCACTGTATCAAAAAGCAACAATGCTCTTTGTTATCCCTGAGGGGGCAAGGAAGTATGATAAATGTTGCATGTCTAGCTTTGAAGCAAAGCATTTGAGAAAGGTCCTCCTAATGAATTCCCTGTGGATGAAGTCGGAAAAATGCATGGACTCTCAAGTTGACTGACTCATTTATTGCCAGAAGACCCAGGTTTGCATCTGAATAGCCACTCAGATGGGAACCTTGATCATATTATTTCAGCTAGCTTAACTATGGTTTTCTTATCTGCAAAGGAAAGATGAAAATACTTACCTTATAAGGAAGTCATAAGAATTAACTTAGGTCACGTATATTAATTAAAGACATTTGGTAAATTATTGTGTGGTATATGACAGTAAGTACCATTGATATGAATTAACATTACCAGTAGAGAGTTGTAAGGCTATAATCTTGCTTTTATTTTCGTCAACATTTTATCAAAGACATGGAGAAAGATGGAAGAAACTCCCTGATCAGATTTACAGGAGACACAGTGCTGGCAGTGAAAGCTAGTGTCTTTGATGAGCCCTAGGACTTCACATAATTCAGAGTGAATGCCAGGGTTAGGACAGAATGATTTTGGCGAGTTGGAATATTGAGCAAAGTCCATTAAAAATCAAGCAAGAATGAACTATTATAACTGTGTCTGGCTAAAAATAAAATTTCTCAAAGACAGGATGAGGAAGCGATTCTCTTGAAAGATCTTAGACACTGGGTGGATCATCAGCTCAGTCTGAAAGAGGTAGTTACAGAAAAAGGCAGCACAATTCTGTATAGGTTGTGTCTATAGCAGCCAGTGCCCTTCTGGAGCCATTTGCTGGATTCTGGAGAGGACAAGCAAAGTAATGAAACTTCTAGTAAGTGATAGGTGGTTGAACGGATTAGCAGTGCCTACAAAAGAGAAGAATCAATCATGGTACCTGTGGAATAATTATGATCACCACCACCACCACCACAGAATAGCTAATTCTTAGTGACTGCTTCTAATGTCTTCTCTCCACATCACTTCATTTAATCCTCTCAACACCTTGTGGATCAGGTTCTATTATTATCCCTGCTTCTCCAATGAAAGCACAGAGGAGAAAACAGGACAAATGGTTCATTCAAGACAGTAAATGGGGAGTCTATATTCGAACTCAGGCATTTTTTATCTAGAATGGGTACTTTTAGTTAACATGCTATTATGTTTTCTAAGAGTTAGGGATAATGAGATAACTAATTAAAACATTTGAAGGACTGTTTTGTAGAAGAGAGATCAGCCCTTTGCTGTGTATTTCTAGAAGGTAGTGATAGTCCAGGGAGTATGAAGTACTCAGTACTTTTTATCTCAGTATAAATACTGGGATATTTAGGCTTTTAGGAAGAAGAGTCTAAAAGAGGCTGTGGAATGGGATGGCATGGCCAATCCTTAGGGTTACCTTAATGCTATGTGGCTGCCTTAGGTGACCTCGATGACCACTTCAGGATGCTACATTTCCATTAGGCCCATCCTTGGGTAAATGTATTAATTAGGACTCATGATCACAAGCAGCAGGATCCTTAAATAACTCTGGCTAGGATATGTGGGCTGTCTTGGGAGAGTAAGGATGCAACTGATCCTGTCACAATGGGGCTAGGAATGAGAAGCCTGTAGGATTTTCTCTTTAATTCTTGCTTCTTCTTGGCTTTGTTGACTTTCTTCTATGCAAAGAAATTTTATCATATTTCAGAAAATATAGCCTCTGGCTGCTCTTGACATTTTTTTTTTTCCATCTACTAGCTTCTGTCACTGGAGATGGACTGCCTCTTTGGTATCAAGACAAAACAAAATAGAACAGAAAAAATATCAAGTCTTCACAGGAAGGGTACAGATTGACCCAGTTTAAGAACCCACATCCCCTGTAGCACCACCATCAGTGGGGGCACAATAATGGGATCTGTTAGAAAATGACAGGTCTCTGGAAATAGAAATATTCTTATTCCAAGGTAAAACCACAAAAATCTGGTACACAAACGGCATCGGAACAAGACAAGCTTCAAGCTTTTGACTCAACCTTATGCAAAAGATGACCAAAAATTTCAGAAATTGGAACTCTTCCATGTTGATGACAATCATCTTTTTGAAAATAGCTGAAAGGAGCTTTTACTGCTAAAGCTGTATATTTGCACCTATAGTGTACTGAATTACTGAGCTAGCTGCTGTGTTGGCAAAGAACAAAGGTATTGTGGCTCTTATGCTTAAAGACCCAACCATTAGAGGGATTAAGGACCGAGTAGCATTCTGAGGACCATTTTAAGTGTAATTACATAGATTAGTCCTCATCAGTTATCTCGTTTACAGGTAGATCTCACATCCTGTTTAAATCAAACTAGCTTCTCAACAGAACTCTTCAGTGGTTCAGAAATAGCCTAGGATACAGAAAACTGCATTTGTTTATACATAAAATTTGTTCTTTTACTCACAGTACTTTTTATGTGCTCACCACTGTTTTAGATACTTCCTATAAGGTAATAAAAGTAGCAGAATCATAATTTCCTCACATTTCTTACCTGCTGTTCTCCTCTGCTTGGAAGATTTTTCATCTCACTCTTGGCTCTCTCTGGTATCATCTTCTACTTAACTCCTGGTCACTGTGTTAGATATCAGCCTTCCCTGTCTAGAATGGGTTAAAACACCTTGTTGTACACTCCTGTAGCATTCTGGAAGCTTCACTGTAGGAAAGTAATGACGCTTGTAAATTTTTATCCAGTGTTATTCGTTGGTAGAATGAAACCCTGTGAAGGAAGGGCCATGTTTGTTTTGTCCTCTATTAAGCCTCAAAAAGATGCTGATATTAAAGCACATTCATTCAATAGGTATTTATCAAGCATGTACATGGTAAGCATTATTTTCGACACTGAGGATACAAAAGAGGAAAAAAAGGATATGGTCCCTGCCCTGAAGGAATTTGTGAGTTAGTCAAAGTGTTGGTTTAATGACAGAAGAATAGCTGGCTCAAATTCCTTATTTCCCAAGTGACCTGAATCAAGCACATGGAAAATTTGAATGGTACAGTTTTTTGTTTGTTCAATCATTTGAAAAATTTCCTTATTTTAAGCTAGCTGTGGCTCATGCCTGTAATCTAGCTACTCAGGAGGCAGAGATCAGGAGGATTGTGGTTTGAAGCCAGCTTGGGCAAACAATTCATGATACCCTATCTCAAAAAAAGGGAGGGGGAGAACTGGTGGAGTAGCTCAAGGTGTAGGTCCTGAGTTCAAACATCAGTACTTCCAAAAATAAATAAATAAATAAATAAAACTTTCTTCATTTTAAAATTTATTTTCAATAAACATTTCACAAACCAAAGGTAGACATGTGAACTTCTATGTATTCAGTCCATGAATGTTGGCAGACACTGATGGCCTCATGTGGTTACCAAGTGGAACACGTGATTTTCATGTGCATGGAGTGTTAAAGGGCATGTCAGCAACAGGTGGGCCACTTTGGTGATTTCTTATCAATTGTGTCATAGCTCATCCAAGAGTGACCATCACATCCTTTGTTGTTGTTTGTGGAGCCTCGGCATCTGCAGTCTCTGGGAATGTGAAGGCCCTGCCATCGATGGCAGCTATGTTGTTAGAACTTAGGAATTGTACCAAGCTGAGAGTTGCAAAAGAGACTAACATGAATCATCTTGGAGAAAGTTGGAGGGCTTTTTAAGAGGATTAAACTAATAGGAATGGTTAAACGATAAAGAAATAGCTTACTAGAGTAAAGGGTAAATACTGAATAAGGAAAAATATTATAGGTGAGTGGTGGAATCAAATCCTTGGAATTAGAGAAAATTGTTGTTTCCAAGAATGGAGAGAGAGCAAGGTTGAGATTTGGATTAGTAATTTAATAATATATATATATTCACATACATACATATAGCTATATCTGTATCTATCTATCTATCTATCATCTATCATCTGATGGTACTGGGCTTTGAACTCAGGGGTTAGCTTTGTGCTAGACAGGTGCTCTACCATGTAAGCCATGCCTCTGGCCCTTGGATTACTAATTAAATGTGAATGCAAACTAGCTCTTAATTTCAGAGCCTGGGGAGATTTCCCATGGAGCTCATTAGAGTTCTCTTTCTCTCAGTTTGAGGACCTGCCCTGGAAGGATGTGGACAGCTTCTCTTACCCATTTATACTCACACACAGTAGAAGCCAGGTTGCTATGTCAAGTTACCGCATGTCTCTCCAACTAAAAATGCATCCCCCACCTCTCACAAAACTGAACCGACCCTCAGTAGAAACCCGTAATAAGCATGAAGACAACTCATTTCCATCATCTTCACCTAGGGAACAGCAGAGCCTGCAGAGTATTCCTTGTGACTCTGCTATCAGTGGCCAGTAGGATTGACCCAGAAGTCTTACTCATTTTGCTCATAAAACCTGCAAGTTATTGAGTCAGTTAATTGGAAATCATGTCAATCCATGAACAAGCACTTTTTTTAAAGCCAATTTTAATGATGTGAGCAGAGATCCTTTGGCACTTAAGAAATGCCAAATACTCTTGAGGGTTACTTGCTAAGACCAGCAGCCCATGTATGTCATAGAGAGGAAAGCAAAGTGTTGTCCTAGTCTTGAAATGGTAAGGCAGTTCAGGGGATGAACACAGCAGGCTTAGGGGGATGTGGGGGAGAAACCAAGTTAGAGAAAGTACTGCATACAACATCTGTAAAGAAAATGTTTTATTTAAAGTGTTAAATACCGTCACCAGAATGAATTTGATTTACAGTAGTTGGTATTTGTTACAGGACTAATCTGCCCTTTTTTTTTGTCCCAACTGGAATTCCCTTTTCGTGAACACATATGACGTATGGGGCAGCAGTGGTCACTGGAACAGTGCTATTTACATGACTAAACCACAAGTCGAGGTGCAGATGTGTGAAAATTAAAAAAAAAAACACCAACCTTTAAATAAATACTGCATAATGACAAGTATGTACAAATATTCCATACAGTCATGTCCTTCTTATTAAAGTTAGAAATAATTTGTATAGGAATATGCAGAAAAGATTATGTGACTGCATCTTAATATCAGGAAAATGGCAAACTCTTATTCTAAGGGACTGTATAGACACTATAGGTCCATTAGCTCAATTGTTGCTGGTACACAGGTGTCTAAATTATCAGTAACATTTTATTCATTCTTGTCACAACTTTACCTGGTCCATCACAGATCTCAGAATGTCAAGACACAGTCTTAGTGTATTTCATTTTGCACCACATAAAGAGAAGGCATTTTTAGTGATACTCATTTTAACTTTTGCACCATATCAAGCATGTTAGTTTCCAATGGTTAGTACTAAATTAAAAAAAACAACAAAGAAAATAACTTTTGTGCATGGCCTTCATTTAAAGCAGATGAGATGGAAGTGAATTTAAAAAATTACAGCAAGAAATTAAAGCCAATCCATAAGAATGTGTTATCAAAGTGTACATAAGAACCAGAAAGCATGGGTGGTTTATTACATTGACCAGTGATGTTTCTTCTTGATAGGGAACTTGAGAAAAATTTGACCTTGCAGCATCACCCAATGGCAATAACTATCCGTAAAACCGAAGGCAGGGGTTCTGACTTTGGGGAATTTGCATGTAGACTTTTTGGTGATAGCATCAAGGAACTAGTAACAGGCATATTGACTTTCATTGAGTCACCTAAAAACTGGAGCTTTAAAACTGTTGCAAATTTATGTTTACTATATTCCTTTAGAAATATAATTTGTGAAAAATTGAAGTTTCCTACAGAAAAATGAATTAATAAACAGTCCTGTGTTTCAGGGTTCCCAATTTTTAGCAGTGTTTCTATTCACATAGTAAACAGAAATTCGCCAAAGAAATTGCTTTAACTAATTAAAAAATAAACAAAACCTAAGACCATCTACAAATAATACTTTAACCCCTGTATGAATAATGCTGGTGCTAAAAATAAATTTGTTATTAGACATTACAATGGCCACATGATTTTAGGATTTTCCTGTAAACTGAATTTTGAAGGTGAAAAAAATTACCATGCACTGTATAATAAATTTGTAAAGTTCAAATATCTGCTTTGTCAAATACATGCTGACTTACTTGAATGTACTCCCAGTCATGTTGCAAAATCCTTTCAACATGCTTGAAATAAAGAAAGCTCTTAAATAGATTTTCCCTTGAGAAATTCATAAATTCAGATGCATCTACAGCTCTGAATCAAACATGGGATATAAGAGAGTATCAGACCAAAAACTTGTAATTTTTTTAGTAGAAGGTTCACTCTGATTGGGAGAAAGAAAATGAAAGATTAAAAGAGAAGAGGAAACGTGAGATTGAGGAAGAAAGGTGAAAAATTTGTACACATTGAATTACATAAGATTTGTGTATTTAACATGGAAATAAATTGAATATATTATACTTATTGTCACATAAAGAGAATTTTAAGTATATTCTAGAAAGTATTTTCCATTGTAACGTCTGCCAAAACACAGACTGAATAGTTTAAAGAATAAACATGGTGTGTCTTTGTATCACCCTGTTGCATTCTCTGCCCTTTTTAAAACCATGCACTAGTGAAATTTATTTTTAAAAATAATATAAATTGTTGAAAATGGCTGATTTTTATTCTTTTTTTTTTTGCAAGTTGCAGCCCCAAGAAAATAATTTAAGTATTCAGCTAATCTGTGTCCATGCAAAAAGTTTCTTTAATTTCATTCAGTACAGTGTTGCCACAGAATTTGGTTTTTCAGAGTCCAACACATCTTGGCATTAGTAAAGGACATGCCTGCTGGAGCTGCCCAGTCTGTCTCTCTCCTGCTGGGTCCCCGCCCAGGGTGGGGTGTGGGAGCTGATGTTTTGTTCCCAACCATGTCTTTGGTCTCTTGCTTTTCACCTGATGCTTCCTAGGACTTCGCTCCTTGACCTGTACCATGGCTTAATGGCTGTATAGCTCTATTTCTGTGGCATAATAGGGCTTTGGAATCAGATAAATGAAGAAAAATGATAAAAAATATAAAGGTGCCATTGAAAAGGGCTTTTGTTGCATGAAACTGACTGATTCTTTGAGATTAATCCATGGCTTCAGATTAGACCAAAACTTGAGTGTCAAACTCCAAACCTGATAGTTCTTCATAACTCAGCTCTTTCACCTGAGGGCCTTCGTTAGGGCACAATGTGTGCAACTTCCTCTGAGAACACAGGATCGCTTTGTATCCCTAGAGATGGGCTCAGAAGACACAACATCAAGCATGCAGTGTAACCAGGGTTTGCGACCTGTGGATTTTTTTTTTTTTTTTTTTGTAACGCTGGTTGCTGTGACAACAGTTTTACAGCTGCTATGAACGAGAGTAAGAGGGTCCAGTTGAACTTTCCAGAGACGATTGGGAAGCTCTTCTTGTGAGAGGAGCCAAGGTTGGATCTACTAGGGAGGAAGGGGGGAAAAGTTTGAACCATCCGATCACCATATTGGATAGTTCCAGTTCATCTAAAAGTATCTGGGCCACTCCCATGAAGGATTTGTGATCCATGCGGCCATAATCTCCCCAGACAATGATCTGTTGGCAAAATAAAAGGTAGAATAATATCAGCATAAATGTACACCTAACTCAACTTGTAAAATGTATTAAAATATTAAAAGATATCCAGTCAAAGTTCTGACATCAAAGACCAAGTTCAAGATCATAGGCAGTCCAGGGAGACTGGAGCGGATGTGTGACAGTATTAGAAAGTCTATGATTCATCTTAAAGGGAGCAACAGCTTTATCACACTGGCCACCATGTTCAGGTTTTCAGAATTTCAGCTGTGAGGAGCGTGAAAGAATATGACAAGAAAAGATCCTGGATGCAAGGTCTGGCTTCATGAAAATACTTTTTTTCCCAATTTTATTTTCTTTTGTTATTTTTATTAGCATACATTAATAGTACAAGGGGAAAATACTTTCTTATGAAAGGGATTAACAATTAAGTAAATACCTGCAAAACCTTTCCTTGGGGACTCTCTTCAAAAGATAACAGCTGCTGATAAAGGGGTTCCAGCGTTTTTCTTGCCACCTTTGTTTTCTTTTTGGCTATGCAGACTCCATTATCTAAGAGATACACCTTAACATACGGTGCTTGGAAATGAAAACAGAGAGATGAGTTAAGTGATGACTGTGGCTATGGAATGCCCAGCTCCTGAAGGGACAACTACAACAGCTTCATCTTCAACTGAAAGAGCTGATAGCCACCAAAAGTCACTGGCCTTTCCACTTTTTGTCAATGGATAACTGTCAGCCATTCAGAAAACTATGTTGACATAGCTTCTGAGTTTTTTAAATTATTACTTAGTCACCTACTTGTTATATAGATTTAAACAATGGATTAAATAAAGGTGAAATGCTTCTTCTAGTGTCTAACAATATTCATCTTAGTCTTTAATTTACAAAATGTCATTTAATTCAATATGCTTGAAACTAGGCTGTTTTACTCAGTCATTCCCATAGATCATGTATTCAAAGGTGTTTATTTGTTGGTAGTGGTGTGCCTATCAGACAGGCATAGGGTTTGAGATATATATTTAAATTAGCTGGAAAGAGGCAGCTAGTTATGAATTCTATGGGTTAAAGTTTATCTGACAGACACTTCATAAAAATCATGTTCATGAGTGTAAACGTCATAACATTCTCTATGGCAGAACAAGCTGACTAGCTGTAAGACCTTTACAAACAGAATTACAAGGTTGCACAGTAAGTAATACACACTCTGTTTCAAAATTTCTGCAAGGATGGAGAAGTTACAAGATGCTAAATTACATGTCAGCAATTGTTTTATACATTGGATCAAATGACCTCTGTCCAAGCATTTGGAGTCCCTGTGCCATTTTCCATAGCTTCAAGCACTTGAAAGTATAATGGCATTTCAGTATGAAATATGTGGAATAAAGTCCTAACAGTGCCCTCTTTCCTTACATATGATGGGAAGGAAAGTTTCATAATTAGAATATCCAGCACTTATTGGCTTATGTTACCATTCAGGCCTGAACCTATTTTTATTTTAATTCTGGAGCTTGAAGGATGCCTGAGGAAAATTTGGAAGCTGTACATAAGCTGAAGAATTATACAAAATACCAGCTAACAAGAAAAAAAGAACTTATGAACATGCTGTGACAAAATGAATGATCTAAGGGTGGTGGCTTTTATTTTGCAGTGGTTTCTACTACATATGTACTTTATTGAACAACTTACATTATCCCCACCAGATCGCTCTTACTGAACACTTGTTCAGGATAAGCCCCAAACCAGTCAGGTAAACTGCTTTATCTACTAGTGTCCCTGATTAACCAAAAACTAAGTTTCAACAACAAAAACAAAATTTCTAAGAAGCAACATGGATTATGGACAAAATAGAAAAATCTCTTCTGTTTTTACCTGGCAGTGTCTTGGAACCTGGTTTTACAACAAGACCACGGGCCCGAATGATTTCCACCTCCAACTGTCCCTTTTTGTCCATCATTCCAACCTGAATGTCACCTAATGGTGCATAGGAAAGAAAAACAATATGCTTTACTACACAAATGTATTAAGAGAAACGCATGGTCAAATAACTTGGTTTCATAATTTCCCATCTATATTCTTAAATTCAAATATATTTAAAATTTTATCAATGATGACTTCCAGAGATTATCAGGAATTGTAACAGGAAAAAATAGTTAAAGGATTCTTACTGTTAAAGTCTAAGATTCTTTATACTTGCTGATAATATTGTCAAAGATTCTATGAAATTGATGGAATTTCCAATAATCTAAAAGGAAAACAATGAAATCGTGTGACAAAGATTCTCACCCATTGCAGGAGTAGCCAGAGTCTGGCGTCCTACGAGCTGAGCAGGGCCAAGGCCATCAAGGAAATCACTGAACTGGCTGTCGGAGGCCAAGCGGACACCAGGGAAAATCAGACTGAAAGCAAAATAACATATGGGATTAAATCCTCAGCCCTACTTGTTTCCAGGCAAGCTCTAGTTTCTAGTCTCCTTAGTGTGGCAGGATGGCTGGCACCATTATTTTGCCACTAATATTTACTGGACCCCAACACTACTCCACCTCTCATGGCTCTTGGTCTATATTTTTTTTTTTATGTTCCATATCCAAAAAATGTGTTCATTTACCCAAACAGCAAGCACCGAGTACCCACATTTTACTACATAAGAGTAATCTCGTCAGGAAAGTATGAACACGTAATACTTTCTTCTGTGCAAAAGTTGCACTCAATTCTTGGTCTATATTCTTTAGCAGCCAATTTATGCCACTGGAGAAGCACTTGTTGCAATATTTATCTCCTTTTGTAGATGAAGAAACTCTATTGGATTATTCCCATCAGATATAAACCTGCTTTGATGTCTTCCATACAACAACAAAAGATACCTTTTCTGACCCTACTTCACTCCCAGATGCCACCCTGTTTCTTTCCTTGAAACTTCTTGCAAAAGTTGTTCCTATGTGCTGTCATCACATGGTACACACATTTTTTCCTTTAATTCTCCCTTGAGAAACTAATCGGCTATTCATTTTCACTACCCCACCAACATTTCTCTAACCAAAGTTACCTAATGGGCACAGAACTAAATCCAGTGCTCACTACATGGTCCTCATCTAACTGGCCAGATCAGCAGCAGCCAACTCTCCCTCTCCCTCGAGACACCTTCCCCACTTCACTTCCCGGAGACTTTAGGCTTCTTGGTTTTCTCCATTCTCTTCTCCATTGCAGCTCAATCTCCTCTGTTAGTTTCGCCACTAAATACTGGCACTCTATCCTTTCCCCTCTTAGCTTTCCTGCACATCCCAGGTTTCTCAGTGAGCTCATCCAGTCTCATGGTTTTACATGTTGCCTATGCTGCTACTGCCTAGGTGGACATCTCCAGCTTCAACCTCTTCCTTGGGCCACAGTCTGGTATTCCAGCTGCTTAGTTGTCTAACACAATATCTAATAGACACCTGAAACTTCATGTCCAAAACTGAAAGCCCAACCCTCCTCCACTCTCTCCATAACCAAACTCTGGTCCTCTCAGAGGATTTTCATCTTAAAGGACTTTGGACCCATCATTCTTCCTTCTTCTCTCTTATGAACTGAGTTGTATCTTCCCCAAAATTCATGTGTTGAGGTCCTAACCCCTAATGTGATGGTATTTGGAGATAGCACCCTTAAAAGAGACAGGTGAGATAAAGGTTACATGAGGGCATAAAGGTAGAACCCTAATCCTAATGACTGATGTCTTTATAAGACAAGGAAGAAACATCAGGAATATGCCGAGAAAAGGCCATAAAAATACACCAGAGGTCACCTGCCAGTTAAAGAACGAGAAACCAAACCTGTTAACACCAAGATCTTGAACTTCTTCTAGTCTCTACATCTGTGAGAAGCTGAATTTTTGTTGTTCAAGCCATCCAGCCTGTGGCATTTTGTTATAGCAGCCCTAGAAAACTACCACACACTCTTTATCTCATTATTCACATCAATACATCAATAAATCTTAGTTGTTCTATGGCCAAAATACATCCAGAGTCTAACCTCACTAATACTACCATTCTGGTCCAAGCCGCCATTTTGTTTCTTCTGTATTACTGTAACACCTTCTGAACGGTTGTCCTGTTCCTGCCCTTGCTACCCTCCCTCCCCCTCAGCAGCAAGACTGATTTGCTAAAATGGAAGTCAAATCGTGTTAGACTTCTGCTCAGAATGCTCTATTGATTTCTCACCTCACTCAGACTTGTGAAAACCACATAAGGTATCCAACCCCAACCCACAGCTTAACTCCTCATGTGATACACACTTACCTTTTCTTCACTGCACTGTCACCTACAGCTGCTGCAGGAAAGCTATCCAGGGCCTCAGGCATTGCCTCATGGAATGATCTTCCCTCAGATAGCCATCAGCTCACTCACTACCTTCCTTCTGATCTTCCTTAAACGTGTTCTTTCTTTATCTACCCTGCATAAGATCCTATGCTCACCCTCTCACTTCTCATCCTTGCCTTGCTTTTTCCCTTAACAACCAGGCTTCTCTCACCTAGGCTTATGAATATTTTACTGTTTTTTCCACGTACCTATGTTTAAACAATTTCCTAAATGCCTGTCTTCTCTATTAAACTTTACGTATGATGAACACAGGGCTTTTAGTCTGTTTTGTAAACTGCTATGCCTCTTTCTAGCTACTAGAACCATGCCTGGAATATTGTAAACACCAAACAAATACTTCTGTAGCTCAATTAAAATGAAGTTTAGAAAAATTAAATAACTTGCCCAAGGTTCTATTCTCTCTCTCTCTCTCTCTCTCTCTCTCTCTCTCTATATATATATATATATATATAACCATTTGAGAACCTAGAGTAATTCCAAAATCATGGTCTTAACTACTGGTGGTGATTCTCTTGTATGATTATAACCCCAGCTTCACAATGCAGCGTCTGGAACAGTAGAAGGTAGTATTTTCTGGGTGGTTCTATCAGTATTTATCCCATTTCTCTAATAAGACTGTAAACATTTGGAGTCAAGGCCATAACTTAAACATTTTTATATTTCATATGGTGCTTTGTCATGGTCAATTGATTCTCCATTTCTTTTTAGATTTCCTTGATGACTATCAAATCTATTTCTTTTCCTGCACATCAATTTCCAAATATTCAGATAATACAAAAATTTTAGTCAGTTTACTATAAAAGGCCTATTTAAAAATGTATAGAACCATTATATCTTGTATTTATGTAAATGCAGGAGACACATTATCCTCAGGGCATGTCCTTAATACTAAGGCAAGAGTTCCTTTGGCCTCACATCTGTGAACTGGCTACACATATGTCTAAACATCAGATGCTTCTAGGGTGATGGTGGATGGAGGTCAGTAAGCCTCATTTCCTTCTATTAATGTCCTTCATAGCATCATCTACAGATCTGTAGTCACCAATTTCCATTAATTTGATGGTGACAGGGCTACACAAATGCTTTAAAAATATCTTAAAGATAGCTGATTCAAAGGAAAGCTATGTATGTCTACATAAAAATGGTTCACCAATATTTTTGGTTATTTATTTTTGGCTATATATTCCATATAACTAAAGGTATATAATTTATAAGTTAAATTATATGAAATATGACTGTTAATGCATGAAATGAAGTATAAATCATTCCTTTTTTTGTTTTAGTAATAACTCTTAAACAGATCAAAGATTTTGTCCACATAGTGTGGCACAAGTTCTAATTATTCTGGGGCTTTTATATATTACTTCAAGCTAGGGCAAGATATTTTATTTGCATGTAATGTAAGAGTCACACTTTAGCATCTTGTCATTACAGCAAACACTTTATTCCCAAACCTATTTCCTTTAATATAAAAAGCCAAATATGTCACATTACTCAGAGGCAGGTGAGCAACGCTCTGTTCTGTTCACAGGCAATCAGGCAGTGAAGATTCAAATGGGCTGCAGAGGGTGTGAGCTAGCTTTTGTGAGAGAGGAGAGTGGACAGAGAAGATGGTCTCCAGCAAGGCGTGACAGGGACAGCATCAAAGCTGGCTTTACTCACTTTCCTTCTGAGCTATAGCTGTTCATGCTGCCGTCTGTAGATTCTCGGCTTGCCTGGCGAGTCATCCAATTCCTCATCTCCACTGCCAGGCCCGTCTCTGTGCTTCTCTGGACAGTGCTCCGAAGCTTTTTACCTCCTGCTTCTGCAGAGACAGAAAGCAAAAGGTATCATAGTTTTCGGTCATCACTATCCGGTAACAAAAAATACCAGCCAACACTTCGAGATCCTCAGATGAACAGAACTGCATAGAGGCAAAGTGTTCTTAAGTGGATAGAGAGAAAACACGTTTAAGCAGTGTCTTATGGAGTGAGATAAAATTTGTTAAGCAGCATCAAATACCATTGTTTTATTTCCATTTAAAACAGTGCTCAAGTTGTTAACATTAAGAAACAAAAAAGATTCAATCTAAGAAAATAAAGTAAGCTTTGTTTTCATTGTAATATTAAATTGCCAGGTGAATGTATGCCTACCACTTTGCTTTCATTGTGATATTTAAATGTGAAATTAACTTATGCTTACCTTTTTTTCCCCTTTTCTTTTTTGTCATAGTAAAAAAAGTAGACCTTCATAGTACTTACAACAAACAGCAGATGGTGAGAGATTTACTTAAATTCTAGTCTCAACTTTCACAGGAATATTTGCTTTTGTTGGATGGCAGATATCAGAAGGCAAAGAAAGCTATAGAAAGGAGAAAGCCCTGTGTGAGAGCAGTTTCACATCTGTTGATAACTTTCAGAGGTTCTCAAAGGGGAATGGAAAACTTGGCAGTATCACATGAAAAAGAGGTTTTTAATTTTTTGGTCTTGGATAGTCAGGTCACTAATGGTATTTGACAATTTTGTGAAGTTTACTTACAGAAGCCAATGGAAAAGACCAAACAGGAAACTGAGTCCAGTACTACAGATGTGACAGAGGTGGGAAGTGCCACCTGGAGAGGTCAGGGGAGAAGAAGCTTCATAGAGGGAGTGGAATCTGAGCTGGACTTGAAAAATGGGCAGACTGAGACTCCAGGAGAGGAGGAGAAAAAAGAAGAAGGGAGAGGAGGAGGAGAGAGTATCTTGAGCAAAGGAAACAGCACGGACAAATGTGTAAAGACAGGGATGACCATGTGCATTTGAGGAAGAAACAATGACCAAAGCCATGAAAGAGTAGTGTGGAGGGGTGTGGATGTGAAACTGACCCCAAATTATGAAGGGATTTGAATGTGGAATGTTGAGTTGAGAGATTAGTAATGCTGGAGCAAGAGGGTAGCAGTTCAAGTTATTTGTACTCATTTACTTCTTGTCAGGCCTATTTTTTTTTTCTCAGACTGTGCATGTCATCAGCTTTTTAGGATCCAACCATATGGTAAGCTCCTTTAATGGCTGATATTAGTAAGTTCTTTTTGGATCTATAAATGCTGTTAGTGCCAGTGACTTGCTAAAATCTTTTTTACCAAGCCTCTTATATTTGCTCACCACTTTGAAACACTGCTTTAAATTTCATCCATTCTCCACTTCTAACTTTAATGTAAACCAAAATGCTTTAAAAAGTAGACACAAAATGTAAGTTATGATCAATTTATACCCCGGTCCCATAACTGAAAGATTGTATTTTAGATAATCAATAGCAAACATGTTGTACTGATATGCATTATAAAAAGACAGAAAGCATCCCCCACCGATGAGGAAAAGCTTTTATTTATAGAGGAATGGTAGTTAATACATATAAAAGATAATAAATATAAAAATTACCAATCTACAACCTCTTATGGAATAAATGACAAGTAAGGCTCACCAATGGAAGCTAACACCAACAGATGTAAGATTGGGAAAAGGATATTTCTATGAACCAAGTAATAGTTCCATAAATTAAAGATGAAAAATAAAAGATACTTTAACATTGGAGACTTGGCTACCAGTATTTTAATCATGTGATTAAACTTAATAGTGCTAATCACATGTACATCCTAATTTGAAATACATGGCATCACCATCAAGTTGTTCTAGATAGACAAAGATAACTGGTGTCTAACCAGGTAAGTGTTCCAATTTTCAAAAATACAGGGGATAAAGTAACAAGGTAAATATCACACATAAAAACCAATCAGACAAACCTAGAACATAGGATATTGTTCAAGAGAGTTGGCCTAGTCACAAAAAATTAACATGAAAATAAACACAGTTAACATGAAAACAAACAAACAGTTAACATGAAAAAAGTTAACATAAACAAACTAGATGAAGTTGTTGTTCTAGTTTAAAAGATGTCAGACAGAGGTAGCCATCAAATGCTGAGTGTACTTTGGTTTGGTTGTAGAAACAGAACAAAATAAGAAACCTTACAAATAAAACAGTGAGGCTGATGTGAGGGAGCTCAGCCAAAGGCTGAGAGCCTGCCTTAACACCAAGCATTAATGTTCACTTCCTGTTAACAATGCCCTTTCGAAAAACTGCCATCAAATGAGGCATACTGCAGTGAAGTCTGAAAATGTGGAATGAGGACACATACAGGAAACATATGCCTTAAAAAGGAAATGAGATTCCTGAAGACCCAGGATGTAGGCTTTGCAATGCTAATAGCTGACTTTTTCAAGCAAAATAGACTTGAAAATCTATTTATTGGGCTATGAGAAATAGCCACCACTTGTCAAAGAAAAACAATCAATGAGCATGTAATTCTTTTGTTTACAGATTTCTTCATCCATGCAACCTCTCATAACAACCCTAAAAATCCCGGTATTTACAGATGCAACATCGAAGGACCCCAGCAGGTTACACAATTCCCTGAAGCCACAGAGTAATGGACAGAACCAGAACTGGTACACAGTTGCCGGATTCCAAGTTCAATATTATTCATTAGTTTGTTGTCAGAATACAACTGACAGCTAGTTAGTGTGGCTGTCCATGGAGATCATGCCATGCTAGCTCAATTTAACAACACACAGAAGGCCCTGTAGGCTTTGGTGTCAAACTGCTTCTCTACTATTTAAAAGCTGGGTGACATAAATAAGTTACTCTTTTGTGTCTCAGTTTTCTCAAACTTTGAAATGATAATAATAATGAGTAATGCTTAGGATTTTTGTGAGGATGAAAGAAAATACACATTTAAGGTACTTGGAAGAGCACCTGACACATAGAAAGTCTTCAATTAATTGCACTGTTACTGTTATTACTAGATAGGGAATCAGAAAGCATGAATTCTAGTCTTGACCATTAACTAGCTGGCTGTGTGGGCTCCTTTTAAGTCATATTTTCTCTGACCCTCTGGCTTCCTGCCCATGAAAAAGGTATCAATGAACCTGACATATTTTAGTTCTAAAGTCTATGAATTTGTGTCATCAGTGTATGATTGAGACCACGTTAATAGCATACATACAATGAAGAGACATAAATGTCAAAAAAGTCAAAGAATTCTACCTAATAACTATTTATAATATCTATTATAGTATACTACTTGTAGTAGCCTTTTAAAACTTGTATTTTAAATGTTCCATTATCTGAAACATTTATACACTTATTTATAAATTTATCTTTCAGCACCACAAAATCTTTGTGTCTCATTCAAAATAAAAATAACTTCACCTAAATATAACATAGATGTGATTTATGGTTAGTTCTCCAAATGATTTTTCGTGTTATTCAAGCTAAATACTGAATCTATATGATAGTGAGTTAAGTGTATAGTGAGGGAGACAAAATTGTAACATGGCCCTGCGATTATGCTACTTTACACAGCAAAGGACTTTGCAGATGTAATTGAGGTAACTCATCAGTTGCTTTAAAGATAGGGAGATTATTTGAGTGATCCTAGCATAAGCACACAAAGCCCTTTAACTACAGAGTACTTTCTCTGGCTGGTTCCAGAAGAGGAAATCAGAGGAATTTTAAACACAAGAAAGATTTATTGCCCTCTGCTGGCTTGAAGATGGAGGGGACTATGTGGAAAGGACTGGAGAGCAAACACCAGCTGGTGACAGGCAGGCAGTGAGAAACCTCAGGCTGAAAACTGTGAGGAACTGGATTCTGCCTGAATGACCCAGGAAGCAGATTTTCCCCCGAGGAGCCTCCAGACAAGAATTTATTCCACTCAACATCATGATTTTGGCTATGTGATTCCCTAAGGAGAAAATCCAGCCACACTGTGCTAGATCTACACATCTGTAAACTAATAAAGAGGTGTTGCTTTCAGATGCTAAATGTGTAATAATAATTACATTGCAATAGAAAATGAATACCATAAATTCTAAGCTCTTTTCAGACACACACACACACATTAATGGGACTGGGGTTTGAACTCAGGGCTTTCACACTTGCAAAGCAGGCAGTCTACCACTTGAGCCACACCTCCAGTCCACTTTGTTCTGGTTACTTTGCTGATGGGATCTCACAGGCTATTTGCCTGGACTGACCTCAAACCAAAATCCTCCTAATCTCAGCCTCCCAAGTAGCTAGGATTACTGGCATGAGCCAGTGGTTCCTGGTTCAGATATGTATTTTTTAAATAAGGAGACATACAGAAATTTTCTGTTATGACTATTGGGGTGGACCTGAGGCAGACTAAAGTAGGGAAAGTTTGGTACTCAGAGAAAAAATAATGCATCTTAGATTAACCAAGCCAAAGGCTCAGGAACCATCCTCACCTGGCTGGGAACTGCCATGCCCCTTCCCACTAATTGATTATTGAATAAAAATCACCTGGTCTCCCCTTCCCATAGGTGAGTGTAGGTTTTAAAAGCACCTGAAGAGCAGAAACATGCTCTCTTGGATTCCAGCTTCCACCTGGGCCCCAACATGCTTCCCTTTGCATTTCCCTTTCCTAACTTTTAATGAACTCCATTTATACCTACGTGTCCTGCCATGGATTCTTCCCAGTGGGATATGAAGAATTTGGAAGTCTCTGACCACAGATTGCACCCATGCCATTAACAGACCAACTAAAATTGTATAAACTTAGCCATAATTTTAAAAAGTTTATACAAATGCACCCAGAGAGAGAGATGTATAATATATGTGTGCAGTGAGATATTAAAAAAAAAGCACCAGTGGTAAACCTCCAAGAAGAAAGGCTTTGTTGTTGAGCTCCTAAACCATGTGGAGAAGATGCCTGCAGGTAAAAATCAAGTTCTCGATTTGCCAAATATCACAGGCAGAAGGCAACACA